ATAATAAAAATCATGTAACTTTTATTAAAGTCACATGCATTTCATTTAAATATCAACCAAATCAAGCCTAAAGTAATAAATTAAAATATATAAAAATTTATATCAACAAGGTGCAAAATCAAGTTTTTGGTACTCATTTTAAAAAAGTCTTTGATACCCAATTGAGAGTTCTATAAAGTGTTACAATATATCAAAATGATGAATTTGCATATGTAAATGTGATGATGTGAATATTGTGGATTGATGATAACTTTAAATTTTGTTTATTTGGTTATGAGGGCATAATCAAGAAAAGAAGCAAGTATCTTTTTTTTACCATTTTTGATCATATTGTTTCTTTTTTTAATATGAGATATGTGCATGTAGAGAATTAAATGTCTTTTTATTATTATTTTTAAGGATGCTAAATTATTAATTAAAAACTTAATTTTTCACTCTCATTAGAAGAATTTTATATATTTTAATTTACTATTTTAGCTTTAATTTTATTGATATTTGAATAAGTTGAGTATGATTTTATGACATTTTATATAATTTTTATTATTTTGTAAGAAAGAACTAGAGTACATGGATGTAGAAAATTTAAGATTTATATGTAACTCTTTAAAAAGTTTAAGAACTACATTGTAATAGGAAAAGTTGAAATTGAGATCAAATTGAAAAATAAAAATTTTGAAGTTTGAAGATCAAAATGTACTGGAACTAAAATTTGAGGGACATGTTATTTTAGCATTAAATTTCAGAGGATTTTAACGAAGAATGAACGGAATTACGAAGTCCGTTAACAGAGGACGATGATTGTCCCTTTTATAAAGTTGAGGGATTTTTATGAATTAAAGATAATTATTTTTATATATAAAAAATTGTAATAAATCTCAATCATTGAATGAAAAAAAAATGAATAGTTAAAATTTTGTATTAATGTGATATATAAAATGTGATGATTAAAAAAGTACCTCAATCCCCAAATATAAAATCTATGATTATTAGGATATATAGAATATCAAATGTGATGTGCCAAATTGCACAACAATGACTAATTTAATAGTCGTTCGTTATTGTAAAGAGTTAAATATATTGTTGTGAATAGCTTGAAAGTT